AACCAAACCCAAAAAATCCCAATTTTGGCTGTTTTCTTCTAAGGTTATGTGCGTCCAGTACTGGCCGGCCTCCAACGAGCTGGAGGAGACCTATGGGGGCATCCACATCAAAGTGATACAGGAAGAGGAACTGGCCAACTTTCGCATTCGCACGTTCCGACTGTACAAAATGGACAAGGAAGTAGGCTCGGGCCGATGCGACGCTCCCCTATACGTAGTTAGCCACTTTTTCTTTTGCCGCAGACAGTGACGGAGGAGCGGTTTATTCTCCAGTTCCACTTCACGGAGTGGCACTGCCACTCGTGCCCCTTCGGAAACGCGCTTCTGGAGTTCCGAAGGCGGGTGCGCGCTGTGGTTGGCCACCGCATCAAGTCCAAGGAGGCGGGGCCAATGGTGGTGCATTGCAAGTGAGTATATACGGGGTGTTCACGCGACTTGAGCTTCTCAACTCCTCCACTTGAACTCTCTCTCTCAACTCTTGACTTGAATGTTCTTTAGTGATGGAGGCGGGCGATCCGGAGTGTATCTCTCAGTGGACGCCAACATGGAACTCGGCGAAGAGGAGGACAAATTCGACGTGTTCGGCTACTTGAAGAAGCTGCGACAGTCCAGAATGGCCATGGTGGAGAACGTGGTAGGTGGCAAAAGTGAGCTCCGTCCCAGCTGTTCCACCATCTCCCCCATTGGTTCCAGGATCAGTACAAGTTCGTCTACGACACCCTGGAGGAGTACGTAACTTGCGGGAACTCTTGGTTTGGTGTCAGCGAGCTGTCGCAGCGCCTGAAGCAGAAGTCGCAGAAGAACGCCACCACTAAACTGAACGAATACCAGCGCGAATACATGCTGATCTGCAAACAGACGCCCCGATTCACCATTGGCGATTGTGCCGGCGGGCATCGGGGCGACAACAGGAAGAAGAACCGGGACGTTTTGATTGTGCCCCGTAAGTGATTTTCTTTGTTCTCAAATTACACGCCTCTCTAGTTTGGACAGTGCGGATAAATCAGAAGATAAAAAGAAGCCTTCAATGGGCTGAGAAAGATTGATGATTTGCCCTCATCTGGGGAATCTCTGGACTCGCGATTGATCGTCTTTTAATTCCGGGTTTACGTCGTGTCCTGTCGCCTCATTAATCTGGCAAAACGATGTGCTGTCTGTGCTGGGTTCAGCAGGAAATCTTGCACATTTCTCCGATTAACTTCCTGCTGCAAGGGAGATTCAAGGGGGGGGGTCATGGGGGTTATGACCCCCTCATTCAATTCTCCATCCAACGATGCCAAAATTCTCTGGCTTTCTCTGGCTCGAATGGTTCTTGAGAAACTTCGAAAAAAGCAGCGTTATGTTCAAGTGGATTTTGCAATTCAAAAAAAACCACGCAAATCAAAAACTTCTTGAATTCAAGCATTTTTTGAGAAAACTGCCAACATTTCGTTGTCGATGGTTCACTTTCTAAAAAGGCCATTTAGTTCTCTTTGGAATGATGTAAAAACGAGCGTTCTTGCTCATTTCGCTTCCGAGAAACATGCAAA